AATAACTTAAGAAAAAAAACCAATTTGCATGTTTAATAATTTATTTCGTGCAGTTTTCTACTTATTTTTTACATGCACATGCACAAATCTTATTTTTTTCATATTATTACACCCAGGATTTCATGAGACGCTTTTTAAATTAGTTTATACAAAAGTTCTTTAAATTGAAATATAAACTGCAAAATCTTTTACTAAATTTTTGCACACATATATCTTGCGCATTTAAATTTAACTACATCAAACAATTACAAGTAATAATACTTTTGATTTGTGAATAAATTTAATTTCTTTATTAGATGAAAGTAAGCGGGCATTTAAATGTTATTTCATTTTTGATTCTGAAATCTAATAGTTGCCTCAATGTATTTAACGTGTTCACAGTAAAGAGATGCATTGAATATACATGTGTGCCTAAATTGCCCATCTTAAAAAAGTAATTACAGCATTTAGGCAGCCAAAATTAATTTTCATCTTTTCAGAAATTATTGCCGAAATATTTTGAAATCTTTTCATCAAAATACATTATATAGTATAGTTATTTCGGAGGGCTTTATATAAAAAATTTAGCAATGTCGAAATATACTTTTTTTTAAAAATAATTTAGGTACACATGTATAATCAAATATATGCTAAGCTACATAGCTTATTTGATTTACAAGGTGCATTATTATATGTGCATTTATTGTTATGTGTAGGAATTTATTTTGGTGCTGCATATGCGCATTAAAGTATTTAATTAAAGACAATTTAATTGTTACTGCATTTATATTCGAATTAAAAATATTTTTATTAAAGTAAGCCTTACCAATTGTATTATACAATTACCTGTGACTTATTACACAAATCCCATGAATTTTGCAAATTTTGTAGATTAGACAAATAATGAGAATAGAGCAAAGCTATCTTAATGGAAAAAAAGAGCCAAAAAATATTATTTCGCCTCTATACAAGATAAACTATAATACCTTTATTCAAGTAATTAAATAGAATAGGTGACATTATAATAGTATATTTAAGAGCAGTTTTTCGTCCAAGTTGTAAATTGTCTTGCATTTATCTATTTTTATAAAATAAAGTTATAATAAAATTATCCATTAGTATTAATATCTTCTAAGTGATAAATAAACAAAATACAATACTTCCCTTTATTTAAATTGCCTTTATAATTTATTCACTTTTAAGTAATTCGTTAGTACAAAGTCGCCATTGTGAAAATCTGCTAAATCTTGTATGCTTCTAGTCCTATTGCATAAATCTTGAACAGTTCATTCTTACCATCGTTTTTAGAAAACTAATTAAATATCTGTGAAGCTTCAAATCTTGTCATTTTAAAAGTTGCTTAATAAACATTCTTCTAACATGTTATTGCTACTAGATATTAATGCAATTTTTGATATTGAAGAAGAAGATATGATTATTAGTGATGGCAGCAACTATGAGCTTGACAATGTGCTTGATTCTATTCTAGACGTGACAGATGGCATTGGTCAGACGTGGAAGACAAGAGATGATAATAATACAACAAATAATAAGTCAGAAACTGAAAAATTTAAAACATACGATCTTCCAGTTAGTGAATACCTAGAATGGATCAAAAACCTTGAAAAAGAAGGGCTTAGTTATTATAGAAATGATTATCAGGTACATGAAGGTGGTTCAAGAAAAAAAAACCAATGGTCAGAAAAATGGTATTGCCATCGGTATGGGACATATGAGAGCACTGCTAGAAAGAATGTCACAAAAAGACCACGGCTTGTACAAAAAGAATCAAAAAAATGTGAATGTAAAAGCTACATCCATGTTGTGCTTCCCATCAACTCAACAACAGTAGTTTTACGCTACTATTATAAGCACATAAATCACTATCCTGGCCGGCTGTCAGATTTGTGTACTTTACCTCTATCAGAAAACATTAGACAGTTTATTAGGCAACGTGCCCTTGAAGGACTTGATGCTTTTAGCATTCAACAACTTCTATGTTTTCGAGCAGTTAAGCTTCAAGACCAAGTCTGGTCTTTAGAGATGGTGCGATCGAATGAGCCTTTACATGATATTCAAAAACTACGTGATGGATTAGTAACTAAGGAAGATATTTATGCAATTGTATATGATATAATAAAAACATGTACTTATCTTGATGAGGATAAAATAAAATCCTTAGATAAATGGATGGTGAAGATAATTAGTATGGGCGGGTGTTGCTTATTCGAATGTGGCAATGAGGAACAGGCATCAGATATAGCTGACACAGGATTTCTGTTTGCTTTTCAAACAAAAAAACAAAAAGAAATCATGCAATATGCTAGGATAATATGCTTGGATGGTACTCATGGAATGAATAAATATGGTTATCATCTTTTTCACTTGTTATAAAACACCTTACAGCCGGAAGTGGTTTTCCAATTGCATTCCTTATTAGTAAATATAAAAAAACATTAACATTAAAAAAGTGGCTTGAATTTTTAAAATTTAATCATGAAAATTGGAATCCGGATATTTTTATGATTGACGACGCAGGAGAAGAAATAAAGGCCGTTGAAGAGAGTTTTCCTGATAGTACCATGTTGCTCTGCCATTTTCATGTCTTAAAATTATGACGTAGAAAATTAAATTATTATTCCGGTAGAAATGTCGATAAATATAAAGCGACTATTTGGAATGATCTTTGGCAATTAATGAAAACAGAGGGGTGGAATGATACAGAAGCAAAAAATCAAGTTACTCAAGCCATTGAAAAATGACGAAAGTTTAATGTAGAGTCTGCAAATGCCTTTGCCGACTATTTTGAGCACTGGTGAAAACTCAAGTATAATAAGTGGATGATATGTCTAAGAGGAATTTCTAGAGATATAATTGATACAAACAATTTAATCAAAGCATTTCATTGCAAACTAAAATACACATATATGAGGGGATGACCAGGAAGATGACTTGATGCTGAAGTATATCTTTTTATAAATAACATGCTTCATAACTTGAAATTTTCATCTTTTTTAGATGAATTAAAAGTTGGTAGAATGAATTCTCAGAGATGTCAACAGCGAATTAGAGAAATTAAAGGGACTACAAGTATCAATCAGAATAATATTTATAGTGTCGGACCTGATACTTGGATTATACATTCTATGACAAATGATGATATAGAATATTCAGTCTGAAGAAAAGATTCTACAATTAATAGCAAAGATAGTTTAGACATATCTTCTTATATTTGCAATTGTTGTGACTTCAAAATAAAACAATTGCCATGTAAACATATTTTTGCTATACTTAACAAAATTCATATTAATGCTGATAGCACAGAAGAAACTAGCCATGATTATAATTATTTTGAGATGCAATTCACAGATCCTAATATCGAGGAGCCTATTAATTCTCTCACTTCTATTGGTCCTCTAGGTGATGAAAATTTTGAATTCACGAAATTAAAAGAAGAACTAATGTTAATTGCCGAAGAATGGGAAGACAAAGAGAGTCAAGATATTCGAAGCTTATGATTAACACTCAGACAAGCTATTCAGATAAAAAAACAAGAATTGCAAGGGTTAATTCAACAGCTGATCATAACATATTAAAACCATCTAAATTAGCATCAAATTCAGTGATTAAAAAACAAAATAGATATTAAATATGTTAATTTATATAATAAATTAATAATAAATAATAAATATAACTTACTAACTTCAAACTATTATCTATAAAGAATTTAATTTTAAACAATAAATTATCTATTACTATTAGCCATTGCCTACAGTATCCCCCAAAATAATATGTCCCATGATTAAGACTCAGGCATTATTCACTATCCTTACTGGCTTGTTACTTGAATAAGACCCAGGTACAACCATATTGATTTACTGCTTTTAATATGATATGTGCCCCAATATAGTACCCAGTTCTTCATACAGTGCCCACGGGTACTATTCAATTTTAAAAATGAAGTTCTTGAATAATAACCTGAGTACTGTAGACAGTGGCCAACAGTACTTATTGTTAAAGTGCTTCATATATAAGTACTTTTTTTTTTTTTAAATATTAACGGTGAGGCATATATAAGTACTTATTCAAACAAACAAATCAATAAATATATAAAGTTCTTTTGTAAAACTGATTTGCCAATGCAGTAAATAACAATGACTTCGAGACTACCAGCCTCAGTGCATCTGGCTGGAAAATGCATATTTAATTAGAATATATTATATATACTTCAGAATTAAAAATGCCACATAATAAAATAATATCAAAAAAAAAATAAATACAATTAACAAGAAATTTACTCTAACCTTCAAATAGAAGGCCGCAATTAATTATCAATTGCAGCAAAATCTATTCTAGGAACTATAAACTTATCCTTAAATCGTTAGATCTATTTTATATTTACAATCCCCTTTCCAACCGCAGATGTATGCTTAAATAATTTTTAAAAAAAAACTAACATCAGGATTTTTTATTATTTGATATGAAAAGTTCGGTAGTAATTTCTTTGAATATAAAAACGAATTTAAATAAACAAATTACTACAATAATTACTTAGAAGAGCAATTTAGATATGCATATATTATATTCCTAACGATGCATATAATAGCGTGTTAATGAGATAAGCAAATCATTAAGCACAATTGAATATTTCAAAAAGAAAATAAATACTTCACTTTATTTCTCTCTAGCTTTCAAGAAAAATTTTATTTTTTACATGTTCATATATATTAAATATTAACAAATCATAAAAATATTATCATGGCAGACCTGTATAAAAAAATTATAGATGAGCTATTAGACCATAATAATAGCAGTCCAATTAGTGACCTCATTACTGCCCCTTATGATCCATTACAAGATTATCAAACTCAAACCACTATCACTTATCAGTTTCTTTGTCAATCCAAAAGAATAGGAAATAGAAAAGCACAATTATGGTATGCCTATTATTTGGGAGAGATCTTAGAAAATATGCCACCAGAACAAAGGATAACCTGTGTCAAACAACTTACCTTATACTATGCCACAGTGGCTGTCCGTGCTTATTATATTTTTCATACATAGGGAACTTCTCAAATCAACCAAACCATAGAATTGACATTGCTGATGATTTATAAATCAAAAGTAAAGAATTATCAGAGAATCATAAATTTGTAAATTAAAGACCTTGTAATACTAGTTTATTATAATACTATTGTGTCACCTTAGTTGAAAAAAATTGACAGTTCATATATTAAAAGTTTAATAAGTATAATGTTCCTTAAAACGCAATAAATATAAATATAAAAAATATACTTCTCTTTTGCAATAATCGTTACTAAATCTTTCACTTTAACCTTAATTAGTAAGATTATAAAGGTATTAAGCTGCAAGTTACTGCACAATTATAATAAATATAGTTAGCAAGATCTCTAATTGGTTTGAATGATAATTCTTTTTCGAGTTAGAAAAGGGTAAATTATAGAGTAAAAACTTATTATTATATGCTTGACTATTTGAATCAATTTATGATCAAAGTCATCTACTAAACATTTCTTTAGTCGTTGTTGAGTGTATTTAATCCAAATTCGGTTGCGTAATAGTATTCATAAACATTAAATTATACACTAGTGCTTGTAAGCAGCGCTAAAATCGAGAATAAAAAAAACTTAGATTTTTTTTTCTTATTTGTAATGCGATAATATTATTGGTCGATGATATCATGTTGTTAGGAATCATCAATTTCGTCCAATCAGAAATATTATTGATCTGCGACCAATGAGAAACTTAGAGGAGAAATTAGTAAACGTGTTGCTTAGTCACTTAGTAATTAGTCACTTAGTAATTATTGTCATTAGTTGCTAAAACCTTCTGGTCACTTAGTAATCGCTTAGTTGCTTAGTCGCTTAGATGCTTAGTCACTTAATCGCTTAGTCACTTGGCCACTTAGCCACTTAGCTCACAGATATATAAACCCTGCTAAATTTCCCAAATGTGATTAAGCAACAGACACTCCTCTTTTCTTTAATATTGTAAACACATCTTGGGATTTTTTAGGAACAGAAACCTAAGGATAGCCCTTCTTGTTATTACTTTAATAAAC